AATGGTGGTAGATACTGGGATGGGTGTGGGGATGGTATAATTGTGGTAGATACTGTGATGGGTGTGGGGATGGTATAATGGTGGTAGATACTGTGATGGGTGTGGGGATGGTATAATGGTGGTAGATACTGTGATGGGTGTGGGGATGGTGTAATGGTGGTAGATACTGTGATGGGTGTGGGATGGTATAATGGTGGTAGATACTGTGATGGGTGTGGGGATGGTATAATGGTGGTAGATACTGTGAATGGGTGTGGGGATGGTATAATGGTGGTAGATACTGTGGTGGGTGTGGGATGGTATAATGGTGGTAGATACTGTGATGGGTGTGGGGATGGTATAATGGTGGTAGATACTGTGATGGGTGTGGGGATGGTATAATGTTGGTAGATACTGTGATGGGTGTGGGGATGGTTATAATGGTGGTAGATACTGTGATGGGTGTGGGGATGATATAATGGTGGTAGATACTGTGATGGGTGTGGGGATGGTATAATGGTGGTAGATACTGTGATGGGTGTGGGGATGATATAATGGTGGTAGATACTGTGATGGGTGTGGGATGGTATAATGGTGGTAGATACTGTGATGGGTGTGGGGAGGGTTTATAATGGTGGCAGATACTGTGATGGGTGTGGGGATGGTATATATGGTGGTAGATACTGTGATGGGTGTGGGGATGATAAAATGGTGGTAGATACTGTGATGGGTGTGGGGTGGTATAATGGTGGCAGATACTGTGATGGGTGTGGGGGATGGTATAATGGTGGTAGTAGATACTGTGATGGGTGTGGGGATGATATAATGGTGGTAGATACTGTGATGGGTGTGGGGATGGTATAATGGTGGTAGATACTGTGATGGGTGTGGGGATGGTATAATGGTGGTAGATACTGTGATGGTGTGTGGGGATGGTATAATGGTGGCAGATACTGTGATGGGTGTGGGGATGGTATAATGGTGGTAGTTTACTGTGATGGGTGTGGGGATGATATAATGGTGGTAGATACTGTGATGGGTGTGGGGATGGTATAATGGTGGTAGATACTGTGGTGGGTGTGGGATGGTAAATGGTGGCAGATACTGTGGTGGGTGTGGGGATGGTATAATGGTGGTAGATACTGTGATGGGTGTGGGGATGGTATAATGGTGGCAGATACTGTGATGGGTGTGGGGATGGTATAATGGTGGTAGATACTGTGATGGGTGTGGGGATGGTATAATGGTGGTAGATACTGTGATGGGTGTGGGGATGGTATAATGGTGGTAGATACTGTGATGGGTGTGGGGATGGTATAATGGTGGTAGATACTGTGATGGGTGTGGGGATGGTATAATGGTGGTAGATACTGTGATGGGTGTGGGGATGGTATAATGGTGGCAGATACTGTGATGGGTGTGGGGATGGTATAATGGTGGTAGATACTGTGATGGGTTGTGGGGATGATATAATGGTGGTAGATACTGTGATGGGTGTGGGGATGGTATAATGGTGGTAGATACTGTGATGGGTGTGGGGATGGTATAATGGTGGTAGATACTGTGGTGGGTGTGGGGATGGTATAATGGTGGAGATACTGTGGTGGGTGTGGGGATGGTATAATGGGGGTAGATACTGTGATGGGTGTGGGGATGGTATAATGGTGGTAGATACTGTGATGGGTGTGGGGAATGGTATAATGGTGGTAGATACTGTGGTGGGTGTGGGGGATGGTATAATGGTGGTAGATACTGTGATGGGTGTGGGGATGGTATAATGGTGGTAGATACTGTGGTGGGTGTGGGGATGGTATAATGGTGGTAGATACTGTGGTGGGTGTGGGGATGGTATAATGGTGGTAGATACTGTGATGGGTGTGGGGATGGTATAATGGTGGTAGATACTGTGAGGGGGTGTGGGGATGATATAATGGTGGTAGATACTGTGATGGGTGTGGGGATGGTATAATGGTGGTAGATACTGTGGTGGGTGTGGGGATGGTATAATGGTGGTAGATACTGTGATGGGTGGGGGGATGGTATAATGGTGGCAGATACTGTGGTGGGTGTGGGGATGGTATAATGGTGGTAGATACTGTGATGGGTTGGGGATGGTATAATGGTGGTAGATACTGTGATGGGTGTGGGGATGGTATAGTGGTGGCAGATACTGTGATGGGTGTGGGGATGGTATAGTGGTGGCAGATACTGTGGTGGGTGTGGGGAGGGTTTATAATGGTGGTAGATACTGTGATGGGTGTGGGGATGGTATAATGGTGGTAGATACTATGATGGGTGTGGGATGTTATAATGGTGGTTGATACTGTGATGGGTGTGGGGATGGTAAAAATGGTGGTAGATACTGTGATGGGTGTGGGGATGGTATAATGGTTGTAGATACTGTGATGGGTGTGGGGATGGTATAATGGTGGTAGATACTGTGTTTGGGTGTGGGTATGTTATAATGGTGGTAGATACTGTGATGGGTGTGGGGATGGTAAAATTGGTGGTAGATACTGTGATGGGTGTGGGGGATGGTATAATGGTGGTAGATACTGTGATGGGTGTGGGGATGGTATAATGGTGGTAGATACTGTGATGGGTGTGGGGATGGTATAATGGTGGCAGATACTGTGATGGGTGTGGGGAGGGTTTATAATGGTGGTAGATACTGTGATGGGTGTGGGGATGTATAATGGTTGTAGATACTGTGATGGGTGTGGGGATGGTATAATGGTGGTAGATACTGTGATGGGTGTGGGGATGGTTATAATGGTGGTAGATGCTGTGATGGGTGTGGGGATGGTATAATGGTGGTAGATACTGTGATGGGTGTGGGATGGTATAATGGTTGTAGATACCGTGATGGGTGTGGGGATGGTATAATGGTGGTAGATACTGTGATGGGTGTGGGGATGGTATAATGGTGGTAGATACTGTGATGGGTGTGGGGATGGTATAATGGTGGTAGATACTGTGAGGGTGTGGGATGGTATAATGGTGGTAGATACTGTGATGGGTGTGGGGATGTATAATAGTGGTAGATACTGTGATGGGTGTGGGGATGGTATAATGTTGGTAGATACTGTGATGGGTGTGGGGATGGTATAATGGTGGTAGATACTGTGATGGGTGTGGGGATGGTATAATGGTGGTAGATACTGTGATGGGTGTGGGGATGGTATAATGGTGGTAGATACTGTGATGGGTGTGGGATGATTATAATGGTGGTAGATACTGTGATGGGTGTGGGGATGGTATAATGGTGGTAGATACTGTGAGGGTGTGGGGCATGGTATAATGGTGGTAGATACTGTGATGGGTGTGGGATGGTATAATGGTTGTAGATACTGTGATGGGTGTGGGGATGGTATAATGGTGGTAGATACTGTGATGGGTTGTGGGGATGGTATAATGGTGGTAGATACTGTGATGGGTGTGGGGATGGTATAATGGTGGTAGATACTGTGAGGGGTGTGGGAGGGTTTATAAATGGTGGTAGATACTGTGATGGGTGTGGGATGGTATAATGGTGGTAGATACTGTGATGGGTGTGGGGATGGTATTAAATGGTGGTAGATACTGTGATGGGTGTGGGGATGGTATAATGGTGGTAGATACTGTGATGGGTGTGGGGATGGTATAATGGTGGTAGATACTGTGATGGGTGTGGGGATGGTATAATGGTGGTAGATACTGTGATGGGTGTGGGGATGGTATAATGGTGGTAGATACTGTGATGGGTGTGGGGATGGTATAATTGGTGGTAGATACTGTGATGGGTGTGGGGATGGTATAATGGTGGTAGATACTGTGATGGGGTTGTGGGGATGGTATAATGGTGGTAGATACTGTGATGGGTGTGGGGATGGTATAATGGTGGTAGATACTGTGATGGGTTGTGGGGATGGTATAATGGTGGTAGATACTGTGATGGGTGTGGGGATGGTATAATGGTGGTAGATACTGTGATGGGTGTGGGGATGGTATAATGGTGGTAGATACTGTGGTGGGTGTGGGGATGGTATAATGGTGGTAGATACTGTGATGGGTGTGGGGATGGTATAATGGTGGTAGATACTGTGATGGGTGTGGGGATGGTATAATGGTGGTAGATATGGTAATGGGTGTGGGGATGGTTAAATGGTGGTAGATACTGTGATGGGTGTGGGGATGGTATAATGGTGGTAGATACTGTGATGGGTGTGGGGGATGGTATAATGGTGGTAGATACTGTGATGGGTGTGGGGATGGTATAATGGTGGTAGATACTGTGAGGGGTGTGGGGATGGTATAATGGTGGCAGATACTGTAATGGGTGTGGGGATGGTATAATGGTGGTAGATACTGTGAGGGGTGTGGGGATGGTATAATGGTGGTAGATACTGTGGTGGGTGTGGGGATGGTATAATGGTGGTAGATACTGTGATGGGTGTGGGGATGGTATAATGGTGGTAGATACTGTGGTGGGGTGTGGGGATGGTAAAATGGTGGTAGATACTGTGATGGGTGTGGGGATGGTATAATGGTGGTAGATACTGTGATGGGTGTGGGGATGGTATAATGGTGGTAGATACTGTGATGGGTGTGGGGATGGTATAATGGTGGTAGATACTGTGATGGGTGTGGGATGGTATAATGGAGTTCAGGTACTGAAGACGACTAGAGAAATAAGTCTTGGGGGGGGGGGAGAAAATTAACATAGAGAAAAAAATTGAATTTTTTTTTTCGAAAAGTGGACCAGAAGATATTATATATATATTAAACTGATTTTTTTGTGGGGGGGGGGGATTGTAAATTAATCTTCTTATGGGGATTAAAAATTTCTATTATTATTATTACTATTATTATTATTAGTATTAGTATTGTTATTGATATTGTTACTAATATTATTATTATTATTATTATTATTATTATTATATATTATTATTATTATTATTATTATTTATTAGTTTTGTTATTATTATTTTTGAACGGTAAGCAGTGTAGGTATTCACAGATGGTGTGACTTGTATTCACAGATGGTGTGGAGGTAATGTGGTGGTGGTGAGGATGGTGGGCGGGAGGCGACAGTGAGGGGCGTGGGCGGCAGCGTGGGCGGCAGCGTGGGCGGCAGGTGGTCTACAACCTCCCACCACCAGCGGCAGGAGGGCGACCTATCCTGGCAGGATGGGTAACAAGCTATCCTGCTCGTGTGCCCCACTCATCAAGAAGACAGGATACCGCTATGAGGATTCACCTTGGAATCCTGCCCGTAGGAGGGACGGACATCTCCTCAGGTAGGTTTCCGGAGGCTTACACACACACACACACACACACACACATGATAACGACATATAAAATACTGCGTGGAATAGACAAGGTGGACAAGGACAGGATGTTCCAGGGAGGGGACACAGAAACAAGAGGCCACAATTGGAAGTTGAAGACACAAATGAGTCAGAGAGATAGTAGGAAGTATTTCTTCAGTCATAGAGTTGTAAGGCAGTGGAATAGCCTAGAAAATGACGTAGTGGAGGCAGGAACCATACACAGTTTTAAGACGAGGTTTGATAAAGCTCATGGAGCGGGGAGAGATAGGGTCTAGTAGCAACCGGTGAAGAGGCGGGGCCAGGAGCTAGGACTCGACCCCTGCAACCACAAATAGGTGAGTACAAATAGGTGAGTACACACACACACACACACACACACACATACGCACGGGGCCAGGAGTGATGACTCGACCTCTGTAACCACAATTAGGTGAGTATATTTTTGAGTACATCGAGGTAGAGGAGGCTGGGCTTGTCAGATGCAGGGGTACCTATCTGGGATCGCGCAGCGACGGCACGGCATTCAGTGCGTCAGGGCGCAAGGCATGCGTCTCCTGACGCCACTTCTCTGATCAAGCACCCACTGAACTAATACCGGGGTACAAGAGCTATATACCAGTAGTTAACTATATTAGTAGTTATGTAACAGCAGTTAGTTATGTAGCAGTAGTTAGTTATGTAACAGTAATTAGTTATGCAGCAGTAGATAGTTATGTAGCAATTGTTAGTTATGTAGCAGTAGTTAGTTATGTAACAGTAGTTAGTTATGTAGCAGTAGTTAGTTATGTAGCAGTAGTTAGTTATGTAGCAGTAGTTATGTAGCAGTAGTTAGTTATGTAGCAGTAGTTATGTAGCAGTAGTTAGTTATGTAGCAGTAGTTAGTTATGTAGCAGTAGTTAGTTATGTAGCAGTAGTTATGTAGCAGTAGTTAGTTATGTAATGTAGCATGGTTAGTTATGTAGCAGTAGTTAGTTATGTAGCAGTAGTTAGTTATGTAGCAGTAGTTATGTAGCAGTAGTTAGTAATGTAGCAATGGTTAGTTATGTAGCAGTAGTTAGTTATGTAGCAGTAGTTAGTTATGTAACAGTAATTAGTTATGCAGCAGTAGATAGTTTATGTAGCAATTGTTAGTTATGTAGCAGTAGTTAGTTATGTAGCAGTAGTTAGTTATGTAACAGTAATTAGTTATGCAGCAGTAGATAGTTATGTAGCAATTGTTAGTTATGTAGCAGTAGTTAGTTATGTAGCAGTAGTTAGTTATGTAACAGTAATTAGTTATGCAGCAGTAGATAGTTATGTAGCAATTGTTAGTTATGTAGCAGTAGTTATGTAGCAGTAGTTAGTTATGTAGCAGTAGTTAGTTATGTAACAGTAATTAGTTATGCAGCAGTAGATAGTTATGTAGCAATTGTTAGTTATGTAGCAGTAGTTAGTTATGTAGCAGTAGTTAGTTATGTAGCAGTAGTTAGTTATGTAACAGTAATTAGTTATGCAGCAGTAGATAGTTATGTAGCAATTGTTAGTTATGTAGCAGTAGTTAGTTATATAGCAGTAGTTAGTTATGTAACAGTAATTAGTTATGCAGCAGTAGATAGTTATGTAGCAATTGTTAGTTATGTAGCAGTAGTTAGTTATGTAGCAGTAGTTAGTTATGTAGCAGTAGTTAGTTATGTAGCAGTAGTTAGTTATGTAGCAGTAGTTAGTTATGTAGCAGTAGTTAGTAATGTAGCAATGGTTAGTTATGTAGCAGTAGTTAGTTATGTAGCAGTAGTTATGTAGCAGTAGTTAGTTATGTAGCAGTAGTTAGTAATGTAGCAATGGTTAGTTATGTAGCAGTAGTTAGTTATGTAGCAGTAGTTAGTTATGTAACAGTAATTAGTTATGCAACAGTAGTTAGTTATGTAGCAGTAGTTAGTTATGTAGCAGTAGTTAGTAATGTAGCAATGGTTAGTTATGTAGCAGTAGTTAGTTATGTAGCAGTAGTTAGTTATGTAACAGTAATTAGTTATGCAACAGTAGTTAGTTATGTAGCATATGTTAGTTATGTAGCAGTAGTTATTTATGTAGCAATTGTTAGTTATGTAGCAGTAGTTAGTTATGTAGCAGTAGCTATGTAGCAGTAGCTATGTAGCAGTAGTTAGTTATGCAGCAGTAGTTAGTAATGTATCGGTAGTTAGTAATGCAGCAGTAGTTAATTATGTAGCAGTAGTTAGTTATGTAGCAGTAGTTAGTAATGCAGCAGTAATTAATTATCCAGCAGTAGTTAGTTATACAGCAGTAGTCGGTTATGTAGAAGTAGTTAGCATGATCCGATGTACTATTCACAGGATTAACAACCCATGTTTCACTTCCAGCAATATAACTAACTTACTGCTAACTTCATCTCTGGAAATTGGATCTATATTTACAGAGACACAACTGATGCTTGACGACAAGCTTGTCAGTATGTATGTAGACTAGCGGCTTCAGTTCTCATTTTCAAATTACTTTGAGATGGTATGAAATACCGACTCGATGGTAAAATAGGCACAAGATCCTTTACTGATTATTTTTCGACCTTATAGTGGGCTTTATCAAGTCACCAACAGATGTACCTGAGTAGAGAGTACATGAGTACAGGAGGACCTGTTGGTCCTCCTCAGTTCCAGTCTCTTTTCAACATTCTCTGACTCTTACCGTCACTCTGTTTACTATGTATACTCAGGAGCTCTCTGCTCAGGTACATCTGTTTGTAACTTGATAAAGTCCACTCTGTGGGTGAAACCTAGTCAATAAAGGATCGCAATATACTGCACTTGTGTTCATTTTTCCATCAAATTACTTAAAAGATGAGCATAAATGGGAGAAATTTCAAAGAAGACCTTGATATTTTTTTTTATATTAATGCTATGGACGAAAGCTGCAAGGAATGGGTGAGTCTCTCTAAGGAAGCAAAACTAGAAGATCGCCTTCAAACCTCTAGGGTTAAGATTAAGGAATTTACTGTTGTCATACACACACACAGACACACACACAGACACACACACACAAGACAGACAGACAGACAGACAGACAGACACACACACACACACACACACACACACACACACACACACACACACACACACACACACACACACACACACACACACTCACACACAGACAGACACACACACACATACACACACACACATACACACACACACACACACACACACACACACACACACACACACACACACACACACACACACATACATACACACACATATACACACACTTCTCAAGAAGGGTACCTTGATGCTGATCAAGGGGTGTTGACTGAAGGAAGTGGAGTCGCCTTGCCTTTCCTTGGATAACACCTGACCCTCTTACATTCTCCAGGTGTTGTCTGAGTGATTGGCAGGTTTGACGTGTCCTCAATAAAATAATATTCTCAGTGTGTTTTCGCAGCACTAAAATCACTATATGAAGCATAACTTTTTGGAGACGTGGGAGTGTGGATAAGTAATGTTTAGCATGATGAACTACAACACTGGACCATCTGGTGCTGCGAGTGTAAACATGCTTTAGTTCTCTTAAGAAATTTTCTGAAGAAATGTTCTGGGAACAGAGTCGAGTTAAGCGCAAGACACACAGCAGCTTGTGGAGTTGTAATGCTCTACCTCACTGCTGCCAGAGATGGCCCATCTCAGTTGATTCTTTTGCAAACTTTAAAGAAAAATGTCTTGAGATTATTACCTCAGGATAAACTATGAAAACCAAGCAGTGTGGTTAACCAGGCATGCGCTGTGGGGATACCTGATTACCTCCAAGAGAACATGTAGGCCAGGATGTATTACAAGAAATGGAAATGCTGAATGTTGAAGACAAAGTAAAACATTTGAAGTTTATAAAATTTCCCACAAGCAGAGTCCAGAATGTCTTGCTTCCAAGCTTGTCAAGGCTGGGAATCAAAACAAGTAGAGTACTAGAGGAATGAACGCAGTTTTGTAGTACCCACAGTCAGTGGTCAGGCTTCAACCACCTTTTATTGTGCGTCAATAAAGGAGTGGAACGGCCTGCGCATGTCAAAGCCAGTCATAGCATGAGCCAGTTCAGGAAGAGAGCTAAAAGGTACCTAATGAATGAAGCTACACAAAAGGAGGAGAGGGATTTACTGCTGAGATGTATCGGATGTGAAAATTTAGATATCCGCGGACGCGGATGTGTATGAGGATGTCTTACTTATTTTGCGGATACATATGCGGATATCTGTTTACAATAAAATGAGGAAGTAAGAAATTGTGCGGATGTTCCGCGGATGCGGATATCCGATACATCATTATATAGCTAAACAATATATTATATTGTTTAGTTAACATTCATGTATCTATTATTGTAAGTTGATCCTCTCTTTAATGTTTATGTTAATAAGTCAGTTTATCTTATTCCTAGTATATTTCCTTTTATTATAAGTGATTTTCACACAGTTGAGTTACTTAGTTGTTTTAACTTTTAAGGTTTAATTAAGATATTACAAGGGCCCCAGTGGACATATAAAGTCACTTTGACTTTTTTAGGTTATTCTAGATAATTTGCACATGTTACTATGTATGGTAATTTGTGTAACTGTATTTATGTGTAGCTGTACCTAAATAAACTTAAACTCCAGATTGGTTATCCTTTAGATTCAACGTAGATTAGTCTACCATAGCTTTATGCACTCTTGATTAGCCTACCGTACATTGGTACACTCTAGGTTAGTCTACCCTTTAGGTTAATCGCAAATTAGTTTCCCCTGGAATAGTTCATCGACCGTCGTTTTCTATGTTAAGCTGGCTTGTATGATGTCCATTTTCTGTGTTAGTCATTAGAGCAGAGACTGAGCTAAAGTTGATTAACTCTGAGGTTTCTGAAAATATATTGAAGAGACAAACGATGTGTCGATCGTCTCTGTGCTTTTTTTTTTATACTTGAAGACGAGAGAGGGAGGAGGAGCAGGAGGA